CTGTAGAGAGTGAGGATTCTGGATTACACCATTCCACTAGACACCATCAGACAATGTGGGTGCTGACATACACCACTGTAAGCCATCAGAGATTAAGGATTATGGAATACACCAGTCAACTAGACACCACCAGACAACGTAGGTGCTGACATACACCACTGTAAGCCATCAGAGAGTAAGGATTCTGGATTAGACCAGTCCACTAGACACCATCAGACAATGTGGGTGCTGAAATACATCACTGTAAGTCAGTAGAGAGTGAGTATTCTGGATTACACCAGTCCACAAGACACCATCAGACAATGTGGGTGCTGACATACACCACTGTAAGCCATCAGATAGTAAGGATACTGGATTACACCATTCCACAAGACACCATCAGACAATGTGGGTGCTAAAATACACCACTGTAAGCCATCAGAGATTAAGGATTATGGAATACACCAGTCAACTAGACACCATCAGACAATGTGGGTGCTGACATACACCACTGTAAAACATCAGATAGTAAGTATTCTGGATTAGACCAGTCCACTAGACACCATCAGACAACGTGGGTGCTGAAATACACCACTGTAAGACATCAGAGATTAAGGATTCTGGATTAGACCAGTCCACTAGACACCATCAGACAATGTGGGTGCTGACATACACCACTGTAAGCCATCAGATAGTAAGGATTCTGGATTAGACCAGTCTACTAGACACCATCAGACAATACAGGTGCTTAAATACACCGTAATGCACTATCTAACAGGATGATGAAATGCGTCATTACAAATCATCCGCTAGGGTGTTGAAATTACACCATTATGTACCTATACAGATGGTTATGAAGCATACTACTACACATCATAAAATAGTGTGTAAAAATATGCATTACAGTAATGATATACACCAGGTACACTCTCGTATTTAAATTTTAACACATACAGAAGTTGAAAGAAACGAACACATTGTATATCAGATACCAAATGGTATTTTGCTACTAAATTAAATATGTAATATTGCTAAGTACAGATATGAAACGTAATTTTTCTAACAAATCGATTTGCATACAAGACGCAAGTGAGTCAATTTAAAATATGTTTTGTTTTCTACGAAGAAGAAAAAAAATTAGCATCAGAGAATACGTGTTTATTATTTTTCATGCAAGTATGATACCATCCAATTTATGAAGCTAAACAATAAAGTTATTTTCTTTGTTCTTCTCTTCGAAAAAACAAACAATTTTCTTCGAAACAATCGCTCATTGTGACCTGCAGAAGCTATATACACCGTAGTCACAACTTCAGATGTTATGTATACTGTAGTCACACCTTCAGAAGTTATGTACACTGTAGTCACACCTTCAGAAGTTATGTGCACTGTAGTTGTACTTTCAGAAGTTATATACACTGTAGTCACGCCTTCAGAAGTTATGTACACTGTAGTTGTACTTTCAGAAGTTATGTACACTAGTAGTCACACCTTCAGAAGTTATGTGCACTGTAGTTGTACTTTCAGAAGTTATATACACTGTAGTCACGCCTTCAGAAGTTATGTACACTGTAGTCACACCTTCAGAAGTTATGTACACCGTAGTCACAACTTCAGAAGTTATGTATACTGTAGTCACACCTTCAGAAGTTATATACACTGTAGTTGTACTTTCAGAAGTTATGTACACTGTAGTCACACCTTCAGAAGTTATGTACACTGTAGTTGTACTTTCAGAAGTTATGTACACTGTAGTTGTACTTTCAGAAGTTATATACACTGTAATCACGCCTTCAGAAGTTATGTACACTGTAGTTGTACTTTCAGAAGTTATGTACACTGTAGTCACACCTTCAGAAGTTATGTACACTGTAGTCACACCTTCAGAAGTTATGTACACTGTAGTCACGCCTTCAGAAGTTATGTACACTGTAGTTGTACTTTCAGAAGTTATATACACTGTAATCACGCCTTCAGAAGTTATGTACACTGTAGTCACACCCTCAGAAGTTATATACACTGTAGTCACACCTTCAGAAGTTATATACACTGTAGTCACACCTTCAGAAGTTATATACACTGTAGTCACACCTTCAGAAGTTATGTACACTGTAGTCACGCCTTCAGAAGTTATATACACTGTAGTCACACCTTCATAAGTTAAATACACTGTAGTCACACCTTCAGAAGTTGTGTACACTGTAGTCACACCTTCAGAAGTTATATACACTGTATTTGTACTTTCAGAAGTTATATACACTGTAGTCACATCCTCAGAAGTTATATACACTGTAGTCACACCTTCATAAGTTATGTACACTGTAGTCACACCTTCAGAAGTTATGAACACTGTAGTCACACCTTCAGAAGTTATGTACACTGGTGTCTAGCGTTATAAGTTCGCAGACACCCTGCTGTGCAACTGAGGGGGACACGTTCGACAAAAAAGTTTAGTGAATAACATAAAAAAAAATGATAGATAAAGCCCTAGTAATTTCAAACAGTGGTCCTGTCTTTATTAGAAGATGGAAGGTAGGTCCACCTGTCCAAAGCTCTACGTAGTTCATCGTTTTAATGTGATTTTTAAAAGTTGAATAGTATTTTAGTATATGAAAATATATGAACATTGTAGAATTTTTAGGCTTAAATTTTTGTTTCACCTTCAAACGTCATAAACATTCTGATTTCAGGTCCAATATTAATATTTGTTCAGTTTAGAAATGATTGCTCAAACTCAGGGGTCGGGGGGGGGGGACACTTGCATGGGTCACGATATATGGATTCGTAGTTACTACGTCACATTAAAAAATATCTCCGTGTAAATGACCATATCATCGGAAAAGTATCCAAGCAAACAGTACCAGAAGAACAAAATAGGCACGTAACATAAATTATAGTGAGTTGTTTCACTTCTATGGATTCGCTGAGTGAGTGGGTGTATGGGTGCGAGAAGAGGGCTTAATTTCATGGGGGATAATAAAGCTTGTGAACACCTGCCCTTGTGAAACAGTTCATAATTATGTTTTCTTAATTCTTTATGTCTGATATTCATGAATACGTTTCTTTAAGAAACATTTCATCAATTTGAAACAAATTTGGTGAAAACTTATAGCTAGCAAGTACGCCAATTAAAGAAGGTTTTATCGTATAAGACAAGGTTTTATATTAAGTGTCATTCGGCAGCGTCATAACCTATGGCTATAATGTCTAAATTTCCGAAATAAAAGGTAGCAGAAAAACATGATCTGTATATTTGGATCTAGAAATTTAGGACTATGTTAAGCCTTACTTTTTTGTTAGTTAACACAATATGCTGTCTTGGTACAACGTTCCACCTGATCAATTGAAAGTATGTACAGTCCGGTACTTGTGGTTTCGTTAGACACGCTGAGGGTTTCGGAACAATGGAGTTAAAGAATTAGAAAAAAATGTGGGGCTTGAAAGTGTCGTTTTTCAAAAACAAAAAAAAAATGGTAGTATTTTTCATGTACAACTTGTAGTTGCCTGTTAATTGTAATAATGAAATGTCTAGACTTCAAAAGGGGTGATGTATATCTCTTGTCACTTCACTATAAAACACACTGACTTTTCCTTGATGTGCCATCACCAACATTAGGTTTCGTTGCGGCTAAACGTAAGGTTACCACAGAACAGACCTCACGCCGACTGCCGCTAGCTAACAACCTTCTAGTTTATCCGCTGTCGACTCATGATAAATCGCCCTCAAGCTCCGGTTTGCATCCTAATGAAACTCTCCTGTCGGTTGCGTTAGCGATGCTGCCGGCCCTTCCACGAAGAAACACGGGGAGGTTGCAAGGCCTGAGATCCCGAACAATGGTTTCTAATCGGCGAAGCCACATGCCACACCATGACTTTAATGAATTGCAGAACGCAGGGTGCATGCAAAATATGTTCCCAGATGGCGCGAACCCCCCAGTTTTTTCATCATGTGTCAGTATTATTTATAGGTTTGTGCTTTTTTTTTAACCATCTCTGGCCAAGACCAGAGTACAAGTTTATGAATTTCATATCTTTCTAAACGAAGTATGCTTTGATTTTCAAACACTCTGTGGAGAAGAAAAACAGAAGAAACTGAATCGTCTTCTACAGCTTCTCTACAGTACATATCTTAGAATCTTCTTCCATAGCTTCTCTACAGTACAAAACTTAGAATCTTCTTCTACAGCTTCTCTACAGTACAAAACTTAGATCTTCTTCTACAACTTCTCTACAGTACAAAACTTAGAATCTTCTTCTACAGCTTCTCTACAGTACATATCTTAGAATCTCCTTCTACAACTTCTCTACAGTACATATCTTAGAATCTTCTTCTACAACGTCTCTACAGTTTATATCTTAGAATCTCCTTCTACAGCTTCTCTACAGTACATATCTTAGAATCTCCTTCTACAACTTCTCTACAGTACATATCTTAGAATCTTCTTCTACAACTTCTCTACAGTACATATCTTAGAATCTCCTTCTACAACTTCTCTACAGTACATATCTTAGAATCTTCTTCTACAACTTCTCTACAGTACATATATGTTAGAATCTTCTTCTACAACGTCTCTACAGTTTATATCTTAGAATCTCCTTCTACAACTTCTCTACAGTACAAAACTTAGAATCTTCTTCTACAGCTTCTCTACAGTACATATCTTAGGATCTTCTTCTACAACTTCTCTACAGTACATATCTTAGAATCTTCTTCTACAACTTCTCTACAGTACATATCATAGGATCTTCTTCTACAACTTCTCTACAGTACATATCTTAGGATCTTCTTCTACAGCTTCTCTACAGTACATATCTTAGAATCTTCTTCTACAACTTCTCTAAAGTACATATCGTAGAATTTTCTTCTACAGCTTCCCTACAGTACATATCTTAGGATCTTCTTCTACAGCTTCTCTACAGTTTATATCTTAGAATCTTCTTCTACAATTTCTCTACAGTACATATCGTAGAATCTTCTTCTACAACTTCTCTAAAGTACATATCTTAGAATCTTCTTCCACAGCTTCTTTACAGTACATATATTAGAATTTTCTTCTACAGCTTCTCTACAGTACATATCGTAGAATCTTCTTCTACAGCTTCTCTACAGTTTATATCTTAGAATTTTCTTCTACAGCTTCCCTACAGTACATATCTTAGAATCTTCTTCTACAGCTTCTCTACAGTACATATCTTAGGATCTTCTTCTACAACTTCTCTACAGTACATATCGTAGAATCTTCTTCTACAGCTTCTCTAAAGTACATATCGTAGAATTTTCTTCTACAGCTTCCCTACAGTATATATCTTAGGATCTTCTTCTACAACTTCTCTACAGTATATATCTTAGAATCTTCTTCTACAGCTTCTCTACAGTATATATCTTAGAATCTTCTTCTACAGCTTCTCTACAGTATATATCTTAGAATCTTCTTCTACAGCTTGTCTACAGTAGATATCTTAGAAATGATTAAATGTGGTCAAGCGTTTTCCGGGAATGCTCGCGCACTGTGTGGATATTTACACCCCACTGTGCCTATACGACAAGAAGGAAGACATTTGGAACAAAGACTTCTTTTCAAGTTCACATTTTTAGTTACTTCGTTTCGGTTCTATCCTACAACCTCCGCCGACAAGCGAGCTAATTTCCACCACTCTGTGTGCCACGGTCTCGCTCAATCATGGGATTGTTTGTGCTCAAGGAACCAAAGAAAATGAGCACATCCTTGCTGTCAACTCCACAGGAGACAAATGGGTTGTATCGCTTTGCACAACTTCTCTGTTTCGCAGCAAAGCCTCCTGCTCAGGGATGTCTGTCATTTCCCATTCGGCTGACTTAATGTCACACAACTTTGATCATTTGCCTGAGTTGCCTTCTTAACTTCATAAAAGTCGTTTCTTGTAAAACTCTCGCAAATATTTAAGGTAAATATTCAACAAGATGATGCTATAGCAATAAATAGATCTAAAAAAAAAATTGCCAAGCAACAATTAATCGATCCCCTTCCCTCCCTCCCCCTTAGAGTATATGTCTTAGTTTTCCCAGTAAAAGCTTTCATGCAAATATTTGAACTAAGAAAAAAAAAACAAATATGTGAAAAATAAACGTAAAAAAACATGTTGGAGTAGATTTTGTGTGAGAAAAGACTGGTAAATAATATATAATCGATGTGCTGTATAGCCCAGCTAAAGTATGTTAATATTTATACCCGAGTCCCCCGGTGGGACGGCGGTAAGTCTATGAATTTACAACGCTAAAATTAGGGGTTCAATTCCCCTCGATGGACACAGGCAGACAGCTCGATGTGGCCTTCCTGTTAAAAACGTACACATTAATGCCCGGAATTGAAATGTAAAAAATTAATACAAGTATTTTCTAATTTAAAAAAAATAGTAATAGAAATAATAGAATTTTTAAATATTAAATGCTAACAATTGTTCTGTTCATTCTTTATTTGGCAAAACATTTTAATCCTAATGAAAAATTGAGTTTAAAATGAGCAGCGTGTCTATAACTCCAGTTGTTAGAATATCTAATATTTGTGTTGAGCTCTGTTATGAAAACCAAATGTGGCGAAACCTCGTTTACAACGAAGCATCAGCATAGTTTGAAATCCATTATTTTCAAAACCAGGTTCACCGCAATTATTTGATAGCCCTAGAGAGGTGAGTAACTGTATCATAACTATAATCAGTAAAGTTCACAAAAACTGTTTGATTGTCTTTGTATAAAAAAAAAAGTGTCACAGAAACATCAAATCGATTTCTTTTTGATCATAAGTCGAGATCAAAATATAACTAATATTAAACGTTGGAGTTAAAACTGCTGTTGAGATGTAGTCACATCCTCGGTGGGAGTTGCTATAAGATTTTGTTTGATGCATAAAGGTAATGTCCACGTCATATGAGAGGTGGGGTCACGAGGTCATACCCTCAGCAAAAATATATATTGTTGACTGAGTATCGACATACTCAGCCACCTACTCAAAAATCTGTATTATGCACATATGAGATCTCGGTTTTATGATCTACATTCTACATATGTGTATAATAATCTGATAGGCTTAGGCAGAAAGAGATATAGATGAACAGATATTTTTAATGTTGGACAGTGCAACATACATTTTATAGTAAACATGTATATCTCTAAGATAAGTGG